GATACTATTGCTTACCCAAGAACGGACGGAAGGAGGACTAGGTGTGATAGACCCGAAACAGCAAAACCCAGCCTCGTTAGCCAAATGGCCTATCAAGGCGATGTGTGATCAAGAGGAGAAAGTGTGGATGATTTTTTTTATTTTTTTTTTAATTTTATTTATTTATTTTATTATTTTTTATTTATTTTTAGCGGAATATATATTAGGGACGGAATGGGAATTGAAGAATCACCAGGATGTATGGCGATGTCTTCTCCTCCCATCCATCCATCCATCGCTAGTAAGATCCCAATCTCACACTGTTCGAGAGGAGTCCTGACAGCCTGGCGCAGGATTCTACCAGAGGAACAAAATGCCGCTTTGTCAAAAGGACCAGTGCTGAAGGATTCTGCGACCAGATGGGTCAGTATTTCTAGCAGCAGGGCCAGGCTCCTTCGGAGGGAACTGGATTGCAAAAGGAATCTTCGCAGTGGAAGGTATTCGGGACGAACCAAAACAAGACCAGGTGACAATGCCTGTTCTCCGGACCTATCTCCCGCGACTGCATAACGTGCGAGTTGAGTTCGCTATCAAGCATTACGAGCAGCCATCCCGCAACCGTTACACTGGAAGTCCCTCCTGAAGAAAGATTCAGAGCCAGCTAAGGACCCGTCGTATAGAGCCCCCTCAACAGAGGAGCTCTACTGGAGAGTCTTGGGTCCCCACCTACAGCAAGGGTCTAAGGTCCACGTTTGGAAACCGGTATTAATCGGTTCCAAGTCATCGGAAATGATGAAGAGATCGCTTAAGCTGGTGGAAGAGAAATCAGAAGCCGGAATTTTGGACTTGGAAGAAGCCAGGGTCTGGAGATCGAAAGATCGAAGGGGTGATGAATACTACCAAGGTGGTATTCTGGCCTTCAACTGTAAGGTGGAACCTTTCATTTGCTTTTTGTGAAATTTTGTCTGATTTGATTCTTGTGGAGTAATAAACTTAGAATACAGAATTATAGATAGATCATATTTGATTGAATAATTTCATATAATGGGAATGAAATGAATATAAAGAGAATTCTTAAAAGGATTTTGAAGAACAATTTCTGTATTTGCTTGTCCAAATCCACCCACATTTGGATTATTTGTTAGAGGCTGATCTACTTTAACAAATTCTCCTGTGTACAGCTGGAAGATTGAAGATCAAATAGTGCCGATGGTATACTACTCGACGAAGACGGGAAGAGACTGGTGCAGATCGAAGATCAGGACCTGCCCCCCGACAGCAGTGGCAGAGAGAAGATGGAAATAGTACTGTCCAAGTATTATGCTCCCTGAAGACGTAAAGAACTTTTGGCAGCAACTGAAGCGGATGACGAATCAGAAGACAGCGGCGTTGCTGTGGCTTCAGATGTTACCTGTTGTACCATCAGCAGCGTGGCTGCAGTCTCGAGGAATGAAGATCTCAGTAGACTGCCCCAGGTGTAGGTGGGCATCGGAAACCCAAGCCCACATTTGGATTCACTGCCCATTCTCTATTAGACTAGGGCAGTGGGGGCGGAGTCACCGGAGAAGGTTCACTACAAACTCTTCGGCCAGTACCCTGGATCGGACGGAATCCTGGGTTGTAAAAGGCAAAATAGACGGGAAAACCTCCTACAACAGAGGATGGGAATACGTAGCCCAAACCTGCAGAGGAGTGATCATGGGAATATACTTTGGCAGACGAGAAATGCAGCGTTATTCCAAAGGGGAACACTGGAAGCTACCGCAGGCTTAGATAGAGGTTAAAAGTCAGATGAGAAGGATAATCCGCATTGACTGGCAGAACAAAGGGAACTTGTGGTTTAGGAAGACATGGGAAATAGATAATAGGTTAGCGAAGACTTCGGAAGAGACAGCAAACAGGATTAGATAGATCCGGCCGGACTCTAACGAAACACGGCCAAAGGTGTCCCCTCTAATCGTAAGATTAGAGTGAGTGCATCCAGCTATATATCGGGACTACATTCATTTACATTACTTGGATGGATCAATCCCAAGGGAAGTCCTGTGTTGATTTGATAAATATTAGCAGAGCTCATAATAGGGCCATGGCTTCAGGCCTGAAGTAGGACATCTGCTAGATAGGGTCGTGTTAGACTCAAATTACAACAGATAGGTAGCTTTAGTAGGGAATAAGGAAATACGGAAGTTTTGAATCTCTGGTTCCAGGATTTCCGTTCGGACCTAGGCTACCAGCCGGGCCGCCCGGGTCCCGGGTGGCCAGCTCGTGCAAGGACCAGGGAAGGTCCCAGCCAAAAAAAAAAAAAAAAAAAATCCAAAAAATCCGAAAAACAACTATGTTATGCAGAAAATAAAACTGAACAACTTTTGCCTCAGGGTCACATCGAAATTCTGCACCAAATTTAGAATAAAGAATAAAATTTTATTTTTTTATTTTTATTTTTACTTTTTAATTGTTTTTGGCCCGGCCGGGCAAGTGACCCCGGGCCACTCTGGTAGCCTAGGTTCGGACGATACGTTGGGAGGCGGGTCCCATATTCCAGCACAAGCAGAGAGGTTAAGAAGTGGAATGGGGATTGAGCGATATCCCGTTCAAAGGGATCATAAGAAGTTTGGGGTGATCCGATGTATTTTTTTTTTTTCCTTTTTTGAGTTTTTGGGGGCTCTTTCGAAGAGGGACTCTGGACACGGGTTCCAGAAGCCTACAGCTGGGTAACGGCCCGAGCATGTTTTGTACCGGGTTGCATTGTTGGGGTGTATTCCCGGGCCCCTGTCTCTCCCTGTTGCAATGAAAAAGTACTTGGTCTCCCAAAAAAAAAAAAAAAAAAAACCATGCAAGCAAGCAGGGTTTTCATAAAAAGACACAATCAAAGAAACTCACAAGCAAACAAACAAACAAACAAACAAACAAACAAACAAACCAACCAACCAAAACAAAACACTGGGTTTTCTGATGGGATGAATGAATGCAGACACAGTGGGACCGGACAAAACCGAAAAGGTCTGTGCACAGATGACACAGAGACGTCGCTGTACGGTCAGCGACTGCCACCCTGCTGCTTTGAATAGGATGCTGGATCCCTTTGATAGGTACTTGGAGTAAGATTCTGGGCAGATACATCAGAATTATCTTGCACTCTATAGGAAAGCGTTATTCATTGCACAGATCCAGCCCCGGTGACTGGATCGTGATGAACAGATCACGAGTTCAAAAGCTGATGAATCAGATGGATTCAATAATGTTAGGGGCTCTTCCGCAATTTGAAAAGTCAAGAAAGGCGTTGCAGCAAACTGTGCACAGAATGGGCGCAGACTGAGGACTCCAGGGGCAGATCCAACTACCATCTTCCCCTGAATAGAACACCCGGTCATTATAGCTGTATTTGGTGCAAATTTCAGTCTAGATGCAGCGATAACAACCATAGGGACTATTCGGGTGCAGACGGAGATGGTAGGCCCCCCCTCATCGTTGGTAGGTGAGTTTATAAGTGTGCGGAGTTCATGGGGATCAATTCCAGAAAGCACTCATCTCGGTCTGCCAGCTCAGAACAGAAATCCTTCTTTTGCCCCCGCCGCCTTGGCAGCCACAGCACCAAAAAAAAAAAAAAAAAAAAGATTTACCTTGGCATGCA